TGGTCTCTTTCTCTCAGTGGGAAAATAACAGTCATTATCAGAAAGTGTTCCCATCCAGTTCCAGCATAGCTGTATCTCTTTGTCTGCCTCCCTGGCCTGCCTGCCTGCCTGCCTGCCTGCCTGCCTGCCTGCCTGCCAGCCTGCCAGCCTGCCTGCCTGCCTGCCTGATGCCTGCCTGCCTGCCTGCCTGATGCCTGCCTGCTAGCCTGCCAGCCTGCCTGCCTGCCTGCCTGCCTGATGCCTGCCTGCCTGCCTGCCTGCTGCCTAACATCTGATCAAGGGAGGTGAGAGGAGGGCTTTAGAGAGAGAGGCTTTCTGACTGTGGAAAAAGAAAGAAACGGGAGAGGAGAGGAGAGGAGAGGAGAGGAGAGGAGAGGAGAGGAGAGGAGAGGAGAGGAGAGGAGCGGAGCGAGAGGAGAGGAGGCGAGGAGGACGGAGGAGAGGAAGAGGGAGGAGGAGGACAGAGAGGAGAGGGAGGAGAGGAGAGAGAGGAGAGGAGAGGAGGGAGAGGAGAGGAGGGAGAGGAGAGGAGAGGAGAGGAGAGGAGAGGAGAGGAGAGGAGAGGAGAGGAGGAGGAGAGGAGAGGAGTGAGGAGAGGAGAGGAGAGGAGAGGAGAGGAGAGGAGAGGAGAGGAGAGGAGAGGAGAGGAGAGGAGGAGGAGAGGAGAGGAGAGGAGAGGAGAGGAGGGAGAGGAGAGGAGAGGAGAGGAGAGGAGAGGAGAGGAGACAGAAAGGAGAGGAGAGGGGGTGAGGACAGAGAGGAATGAGGAGAGGAGAGGAGAGGAGTGCGGAGAGAGAGAGAGCGGAGAGGAGAGGAGAGGAGAGGAGAGGAGAGGAAGGACACGGTTAGTCCTGAGATGGCAGCTGGAAACTCTCCCCCACCCCCAGAGACATTCTGGATTGAGTTCACTATGCCCCTCTAGTCACACTACGTCTAGGATAGCACATGTATCTACAGTTGAAGTCGGAAGTTTACATACACCTTAGCCAAATACATTTAAACCCAGTTTTTCACAATTCCTGACATTTAATCCTAGTAAAAATTCCCTGTCTTAGGTCTGTTAGGATCACCACTTTCATTCTAAGAATGTGAAATGTCAGAATAATAGTAGAGAGAATGATTTATTTCAGCTTTTATTTATTTAATCACATTCCCAGAAGTTTACATACACTCAATTAGTATTTGGTAGCATTAACTTTAAATTGTTTAACTTGGGTCAAATGTTTTGGGTAGCCTTCCACAAGCTTCCCACAATAAGTTGGGTGAATTTTGGCCCATTCCTCCTGACAGAGCTGGTGTAACTGAGTCAGGTTTGTAGGCCTCCTTGCTCGCACATGCTTTTTCAGATCTGCCCACACATTTTCTATAGGATTGAGGTCAGGGCTTTGTGATGGCCACTCCAATACCTTGATTTTGTTGTCCTTAAGCCATTTTGCTACAACTTTGGAAGTATGCTTGGGGTCATTGTCCATTTGGAAGACCATTTGCGACCAAGCTTTAACTTCCTGACTGATGTCTTGAGATGTTTACATTTACAGATGTTGCTTCAATATATCCACATATTTTTCCTTCCTCATGATGCCATATATTTTGTGAAGTGCACCAGTCCCTCCTGCAGCAAAGCACCCCCACAGCATGACGCTGCCACCCCCGTGCTTCACGGTTGGGATGGTGTTCTTCGGCTTGCAAGCATCCCCTTTTTTCCTCCAAACATAACGATGGTCATTATGGCCAAACAGTTCTATTTTTGTTTCATCAGACCAGAGGACATTTCTCCAAAAAGTAAGATCTTTGTCCCCATGTGCAGTTGCAAACCGTAGTCTGACTTTTTTATGGCGGTTTTGGAGCAGTGGCTTCTTCCTTGCTGAGTGGCCTTTCAGGTTATGTCGATATAGGACTCGTTTTACTGTGGATATAGATACTTTTGTACCATTTCCTCTAGCATCTTCACAAGGTCCTTTGCTGTTGTTCTGGGATTGATTTGCATTTTTTGCACCAAAGTACGTTCATCTATAGGAGACAGAACGTGTCTCCTTCCTGAGCGGTATGACGGCTGCGTGGTCCCATAGTGTTTATACTTGCGTACTATTGATTGTACAGATGAACGTGGTACCTTCAGGCATTTGGAAATTGCTCCCAAGGATGAACCAGACTTGTGGAGGTCTACAATTTATTTTCTGAGGTCTTGGCTGATTTCTTTTGATTTTCCCATGATGTTAAGCAAAGAGGCACTGAGTTTGAAGGTAGGCCTTGAAATACATCCACAGGTACACCTCCAATTGACTCAAATGATGTAAATTAGCCTATCAGAAGCTTCTAAAGCCATGACATCATTTTCTGAAATTTTCCAAGCTGTTTAAAGGCACAGTCAACTTAGTGTATGTAAACTTATGACCCACTGGAATTGTGATAGAGTGAATTATAAGTGAAATAATCTGTCTGTAATCAATTGTTGGAAAAATTACTTGTGTCATGCACAAAGTAGATGTCCTAACCGACTTGCCAAAACTATAGTTTGTTAACAAGACATTTGTGGAGTGGTTGAAAAACAATTTTTAATGACTCCAACCTGAGTGTATGTAAACTTCCGACTTCAACTGTATATACACTACAGTATCATAGACGTCTACACTAAAAAAGTTGAAAAGTTTGGGGTCACTTAGAAATGTCCTTGTTTTCGATGAAAACATACATGAAATGAATTTGAATAGGAAATATAGCAAAATGAATAGGAAATGTAGTCATTGACAAGGTTAGAAATAACGATTTTTTATGGAAATTATAATTGTCTCCTTCAAATTTTGCTTTCGTCAAAGAATCCTCCATTTGTAGCAATTACAGCCTTGCAAACCTTTGGCATTCTAGTTGTCAATTTGTTGAGGTAATCTGAAGAGATTTCACCCCATGCTTCCTGAAGCACCTCCCACAAGTTGGATTGGCTTTAAAGGGCACTTCTTACGTACCATACGGTCAAGCTGCTCCCACAACAGCTCAATAGGGTTGAGATCCGGTGCTGGCCACTCCATTATAGACAGAATACCAGCTGACCGCTTCTTCCCTAAACAGTTTTTGCATAGTTTGGAGCTTTGGGTCATTGTCCTGTTGTAGAAGGAAATAAGCTCCAATCAAGCGCTGTCCACAGGGTATGGCATGGCGTTGCAAAATGGAGTGATAGCCTTCCTTCTTCAAGATCCCTTTTACCCTGTACAAATCTCCCACTTTACCACCACCAAAGCACCTCCAGACCATCACATTGCCTCCACCATGCTTGACAGATGGCACTCCTCCAGCATCTTTTCATTTGGTCTGCGTCTCACAAATGTTCTTCTTTGTGATCCGAGCACCTCAAACTTCGATTAGTCTGTCCATAACATTTTTTTCCAATCTTCCTCTGTCCAGTGTCTGTGTTCTTTTGCCCATCTTTTCTTTTTATTGGCCAGTCTGAGATATGGCTTTTTCTTTGCAACTCTGCCTAGAAGGTCAGCATCCCGGAGTCGCCTCTTCACTGTTGACGTTGAGACTGGTGTTTTGCGGGTACTATTTAATGAAGCTGCCAGTTGAGGACCTGTGAGGCGTCTGTTTCTCAAACTAGACACTCTAATGTATTTGTCCTCTTGCTCAGTTGTGCACCGGGGCCTCCCACTCCTCTTTCTATTCTGGTTAGAGACAGTTTGCGCTGTTCTGTGAAGGGAGTAGTACACATCTATGAGATCTTCAGTTTGTTGACAATTTCTCGCATGGAATAGCCTTCATTTCTCAGAACAAGAATAGACTGACGAGTTTCAGAAGAAAGTTATTTGTTTCTGGTCATTTTGAGCCTGTATTCGAACGCACAATTGCTGATGCTCCAGATACTCAACTAGTCTCAAGAAGGACCGTTTTTTTGCTACTTTAATCAGCACAACAGTTTTCAGCTGTGCTAACATAATTGCAAAAGGGTTTTCTAATGATCAATTAGCCTTTTAAAATGATAAACTTGGATTAGAAAACACAAGGTGCCATTGGAACACAGGACTGATGGTTGCTGATAATGGGCCTCTGTACGCCTCTGTAGATATTCCATAAAAAAATCAGCAGTTTCCAGCTACAATAGACATTTACAACATTAACAATGTCTACACTGTATTTCTGATCAATATGATGTTATTTTCATGGACAAAAAAAAAATTGCTCTTTTTTTTTTTCAAAAACAAGAACATTTCTAAGTGACCCCAAACTTTAGAACGGTAGTGTCCAGTGGTAGCCTATACACTTCCAACTGCCTGTTCATCTGTTAAATTCTACTGTGTTATAAAAACAGCGCTCACTTTTCAGATGCGCAAAATCCTTGAAATAGTAGCCTATCTAATAGGTCCAATTTAAATGAGAGATGCGCATTGGGGGGCAATTTGTAGTAGGCTAAAGCTTCTTTGGAAATATGAAGCCATCATGGCCAGAAAAGGTGAGGAATTTATTCTGCAATGGCTATGAAAATATGTATTGTGTTTATAAATGTAAATATTGTTACGTATACACCCTACCATGCAGTACAGTGAGTGGCAGGTCATATACATAACGATCCTGATCCTAAAACCATAGTCTCACTCAGCGCATGTCCACCATGTGCACTACCCCTCTTTCACTGTAGAAGTAATCCCATGTTTTCTATCTACAAACCATAGTCACTCAGACTGAGACACGGACCACGTTGACCATCCATCTCACTCTGGCATCGCACATATACACTTTAGTTGTGTACTGTAGAAAAGCTCTACCAAAGGTGAGCAGTACTCCTGTGCCTAAATTCTAACGGTACCTGAACACCCAGCCCTGCCCCTAAATTCTAACGGTACCTGAACACCCAGCCCTGCCCCTAAATTCTAACGGTACCTGAACACCCAGCCCTGCCCCTAAACTCTAACGGTACCTGAACACCCAGCCCTGCCCCTAATCTCGAACAGTACCTGAACACCCAGCCCTGCCCCTAAACTCTAACGGTACCTGAACACCCAGCCCTGCCCCTAAACGCTCAAGGTACCTGAACACACAGGGGTCCTGTTGTGCACGGAGGAGCCGCTGACTGGTTTTCCGTCGGTGGTGACGCACCAGCAGTATCCTGTCAGAGTGTGACACTGCACCTGTAGAGAGCAGAAATGAAGACGTATAGTGGAGGGTTCATGAAGACAATGGGTGTCCCAAAATGCCCAGGGTTTTCAGAAAAAAAGCAGAGAAAGTCTCCTACAACTATAATTCCTCCAACCGGGATTTCTGGTTTTCTGGAAAGTTTCCGGGGTTTTGCAATTGGCTCCCAGAGATGAACACTCCTGAGAGACACAGACCTGGGCGAAGGTTCCGTCCTCGTTGCATTCTGGGATGAAGATGGACTCCTGAGGTCTCTTAGACTGCTCCAGAGCCTGATTCCTCTCCACCCTGCACTTAGACTGGCCTCCATCTGAAATACAACCACAAGGACAGGTATACTGTACCTGTATTTATTCACTGTCACAGCATTCAAACTATAGGTACACCTGCCCTGCATTCACTGTCACAGCATTCACAACCAGAGGACATATATACAGATGTAGGACCTTAATTTGATCAGTCTTTAATTGCTCTGAATTTTGAAAACATGTATTGTATTTGAGTTTTAAAAAGGCTTCTAAAGTTTGTTATATCCACTTTGACATTTTAGACTTGATTTGCCCTAACGAAAAATGTATAAACCCCTACAAAAAATGTAAATTAATTATAATCCACATAATAATTCACATTTCGTGTTGCTGCAAGATTATTTTCCTGCTGTAACAAACTGGCTAAAATTAACATCCTGTATCTGTACTTGCATTCACTGAAACAACATCCCAACCCACTGGCTCGCCTCACAATACACGCTCTCTGTGCACCTACTTTATACTGGAAGGACAAAATACTCAACGCTTCATTTGACAGCACATTCCAGACGCTTAAAAACATAGTGGGCGATTCCACGCCAGCATGGCCCGAAAATATATCTTTGGTATCACAGATTGTTCTGTAAATTCTCACATGAAAAACTTCACTAGGAGGAAAAATGTTTAACATGCCTTTTTACATTATCCAGAGCGACTTACAAATTGGTGCGTTCACCTATGATAGCCAGTGGGACAAGCACTTTACAAAAAAAAATTATTTTATTTTTTATCTATATTTTATTTATGTATTTATTATATATATATATATATATATATATATTTGAAATTATTATTATTTATTATTTTATTTTTTATTATTGTTTTTATTATTATTTATTTTTAAATTCATGATGAAAATGTTTTAAGAGCTTTTTTAGACCTATACATGCTTCCTGTTAGATCACATGATCCGTGAACCGTATATGGCGCAAACTACATCTTGGTTTCATTATACTCCTTATAGTGTGCTCTAAAATATGGAGTATATCTCAGGAATTTTGAAAGACGGGACAATCTCTACTTTCTTAATATTAACAGCATTTGAAAATATATATTTTGATAGTCCAGGGGTCTTCAACCTTTTCTTGCCCAGGGACCCCCTCCCAGGCAAACCGGCGACCCAGGGACCCCCATCATACGTTAGCAAAACAATTGCTGTCTTGTTTTACATCAGGTGAATGATAGTGGCAAGGAGAAGTAATCAACATTTTAAGATGAATAGATTTGGTAGATAGTTTTTCATTATTTTGACCCCACATTATGATTGGAATAGGAAGTATAAACTCTATGTCAGTTTATTTATTTATTTTTTTTGCTGATACTTTGGTCTACCCCTGTCTCCTTTTTAACATGGGGATGTATCAATGATACCGTATTACTGCGAGATTCTTTATGGCAAGTTCTAAAATCAGATCTGCAAACGTTCCTAACTTCACTGACGTGTCTTCAAATACGCAGAACATAGCATTCTACAGACAAATACCATTTCAAGGATTCTTGAAAGACGGGACAATCTATACTTTTCGAATAAATATATTTTTCTTAATATTAACAACATTTCAAATATATATTTTTGACCAGAGTATCAGCTGTCCCACCATGTAAAGGAACAACCTAATAATTCTTCAAAATTTTTTCATAAAATGCAACTAACTGGATTTATGTCAACGCCGCCAGACACCATAAAAGGCTTTTTATTTGTACATTTATTGTTCAACAAGTGTTTAAAGGCCATGATTGTTAATTTCTAATATTAGATTATTCAAATATGTGATACAAATCTCCACACATATTTTTTCATGTATTTTTATAACTCCACATAATGCCCCAGGGCTAATTTCGTTAGCATTTTGGCATGTTTTTTGTAATATTTAAAAAAAACATAAAACAACATTTATAAAGCAAACGTTATCCCTTACGTCTAGCACAGGAATGTTGCCAAACAGTGATTCAAATATTTTTTTTACGAATATTGATTCAAAAATGTATCGTAAGAGGGTTATCAGTGACGGAGTTGACAAGCCCCTAACGGAGTTGATACCAAATACACACATTCAATACAAACATTTGTAAAATATAGAAAAATGATTCATTTGAAAATCCCCAATAAAAACATAACAATTCTATCAGATCTTACAGCACTCTGACGGAGTTGACGTTAGACAAAAATCTGACTGAGTTTATGTTTTACGGAGTTGACAAAAATTTCATTTTTCTTCTTCATTCAAGTGGTATACACAGTAGCAATTTAGTTTCTCCTCAGTTGCTTCATGACTCTTAAACCTAATTAAAATAAACATATTTGAACCTAAATTCATATCCTATCTTAATCTATCAGGGAGCTGGAGTTGACAGTTTATGGTTGTGACCATGGTGATTTCAATATTGGGGTTTTTAAATCTATCAAAAGAACTTTACAGACCATGAGTGGTCATTTAAAGTACCAGTCAAAAGTTTGGACACACCTACTCATTCAAGGGTTTTCTTTATTTTTACTATTTTTTACATTCTAGAATAATAGTGAAGACATTAAATCTATGAAGTAACACATATGGAATCATGTAGTAACCAGAAAAGTGTTAAACAAATCAAAATATATTTTATATTTGAGATTCTTCAAATAGCCACCCTTTGCCTTTATGATAGCTTTGCACACTCTTGGCATTCTCTCAACCAGCTTCACCTGGAATGCTTTTCCAACAGTCTTGAAGGAGTTCCCACATATGCTGAGCACTTGTTGGCTGATTTTCCTTCACGTCCGACTCATCCCAGACTATCTCAATTGGGTTGAGGTTGGGGGATTGTGGAGGCCAAGTAAAATAGCCCTTACACAGCCTGGAGGTGTGTTGGGTCATTGTCCTGTTGAAAAACAAATGATAGTCCCACTAAGCCCAAACCAGATGGGATGGCGTATCGCTGCAGAATGCTGTGGTAGCCATGCTGGTTAAGTGTGCCTTGAATTCTAAATAAATCACAGACAGTGTCACCAGCAAAGCACCCCCACACCATAACACCTCCTCCTCCATGCTTTACGGTGGGAACTACACATGCGGAGATCATTCATTCACCAACACCACGTCTCACAAAGACACGGCAGTTGGAACCAAAAATCTCAGATTTGGACTCCAGACCAAAGGACAAATCTCCACCGGTCTAATGTCCATTACTCGTGTTTCTTGGCCCAAGCAGGTCTCTTCTTCTTGTTGGTGTCCTTTAGTAGTGGTTTCTTTGCAGCAATTCGACCATGAAGGCCTGATTCACACAGTCCCCTCTGAACAGTTGATGTTAAGATGTGTCTGTGACTTGAACTCTGTGAAGCATTTATTTGGGATGCAATTTCTGAGGCTGGTAACTCTAATGAACTTATCCTCTGCTGCAGAGGTAACTCTGGGTCTTCCTTTCCTGTGGCGGTCCTCATGAGTCAGTTTCATCATAGCGCTTGATGGTTTTTGTGACTGCCCTTGAAGAAACGTTTCAAAGGTCTTGAAAGTTTCCGTATTGACTGACCTTCATGTCTTAAAGTAATGATGGACTGTCATTTCTCTTTGCTTATTAGAGCTGTTCTTGCCTAAATATGGACAGTCTTTTACCAAATAGGGCTATCTTCTGTATACCCCCCCTGCCTTGTCACAACACAACTGATTGGCTCAAACGCATTAAGAAGGAAAGAAACTCCACAAATTAACTTTTAAGAAGGCACACCTGTTAATTGAAATGTATTCCAGGTGACTACCTCATGAAGCTGGTTGAGAGAATGCCAAGAGTGTGTAAAGCTGTCATCAAGGCAAAGGGTGGCTATTTGAAGAATCTCAAATATAAAATATATTTTAATTTGTTTAACACTTTTTTGGTTACTACATGATTCCATATGTGTTATTTCATAGTTTTGATGTCTTCACTATTATTCTACAATGTAAAAAATAGTAAAAAATTAAGAAAAACCCTGGAATGAGTAGATGTGTCCAAACTTTTGACTGGTATTGTAATGGTATAACTGACCCTGCTAATTCCTGATTAATTTAGTATTTTAGACAAATCGGACAAAGTTGACCAAATCTCCGGACACATCTTTTAGGAATCAGTTTTGAGAGAAATATTATTTAAAGTCACAGAGGGCTATTGCAAGATAGATCCTTTTTCATAAGATCCTTTTTCAGTTAATATACATTATTGACAGTTTCTTTCAATTTAAACAGTTTTTTGGAGAGTTAGAAATGTGGATCCTTTGCTCCGGACAAGGGCATTTCCGAGCATAGAGCTGACATGGAAATGAATAATATCAAAAATATTTTTTACATTCCCAAAACAAATCTTTCCCTTTATAAAAATCACTTAAATGTAATTTTTTAATTCAAATAATTTAACCAAATATGTCTTTATTTTACTATTTAAAAAACGTTGCCCTGCCAGACAAGGAATGTCGCGACTTTCAAGAATCCCAAATCTATATTCTGAAATAAAATGTTTGACATTAATTTATTCAACATAAAAAATATTATTATTCAGGGCCTCCCGAGGCGCAGCGGTCTAAGGCGCAGCGGTCTAAGGCCAAGCGGTCTAAGGTGCAGCGGTCTAAGGTGCAGCGGTCTAAGGTGCAGCGGTCTAAGGCCAAGCGGTCTAAGGCCAAGCGGTCTAAGGCACTGCATCGCAGTGTTTGAGGTTAGATCCCAGGCTGTATCGCGACCGGGAGACCAATGAGGCGCCGCGCAACTGGGCCAGTGTCGTCCAAGTTTGGCCAGCAGGGATGTCCTTGTCCCATTGCGCTCTAGCGACTCCTTGTGGTGGTCCGGGTGCTTGCACGCTGACTTCGGTCGCCAATTGTACAGTGTTTCCTCCGACACATTTGTGCGGCTGGCTTCCGGGTTAAGCAAGCAGTGCGGCTTAGCAGGGTCGTGTTTCAGAGGACGCATGGCTCTCTCCCGAGTCTGTACGGGAGTCGCGGTGATGGTACAAGACTTTAACTACCAATTGGATATCACCAAAAAGTGTAAATAATAATATTATTATATATATCTCAAAAGTATCCTTTTTGATAACATCACATTTCCAGAGTGGGCTCTGTTACTTTTGAAGAAATGATGTCCGTGAGAAAAAACAAAACAATGTTTGTTGTCTAAAGTAACATCTTTGATTTTGTAATGTCGCAAACTGATGTGGCAGTTTCACCACTATGGACTCCAGCTTTAAAGGGATCCTGCTGCTTTCAAGATTTAGGTGGTTTATCTACTTCCCCAGTCAGATGAACTCATCAATACCATTTGTATGTCTCTGCGTGCAGTTTGGAGATGATTGAAGTTAAGATATTGTAACGCAAGAGAACAGTACAGCTGCCAGCTCCTCTCAAAGCAGGGAAATAGACCTACAGTTGAAGTCGGAAGTTTAGATACACCTTAGCCAAATACATTTAAACTCAGTTTTTCACAATTCCTGACATTTAATCTAAGTAAAAATGCCCTGTTTTAGGTCAGTTAGGATCACCTCTTTATTTTAAGAATGTGAAATGTCAGAATAATATTAGAGAGAATGATTTATTTCTGCTTTTTGTTCTTTCATCACATTCCCAGTGGGTCAGAAGTTTACATACACTCAATTATTATTTGGTAGCATTGCCTTTAAATTGTTTAACTTGGGTCAAACGTTTCTGGTAGCCTTCCACAAGCTTCCCACAATAAGTTGGGTGAATTTTGGCCCATTCCTCCTGACAGAGCTGGTGTAACTGAGTCAGGTTTGTAGGCCTCCTTGATCGCACACGCTTTTTCAGTTCTGCCCACAAATTTTCTATAGGATTGAAGTCAGGGCTTTGTGATGGCCACTCCAATACCTTGACTTTGTTGTCCTTAAGCCATTTTGCTACAACTTTGGAAGTATGTTTGGGGTCATTCTCCATTTGGAAGACCCATTTGCGACCAAGCCTTAACTTCCTGACTGATGTCTTGAGCTTCAATATATCCACATATTTTTCCTTCCTCATGATACCATCTATGTTGTGAAGTGCACCAGTCCCTCCTGCAGCAAAGCACCCCCACAGCATGATGCTGCCACCCCCATGCTTCACGGTTGGGATGGTGTTCTTCGGCTTGCAAGCGACCCCCTTTTTCCTCCAAACATGATGATGGTCATTATGGCCAAACAGTTCTATTTTGTTTCATCAGACCAGAGAACATTTCTCCAAAAATTAAGATCTTTGCCCCCATGTGCAGTTGCAAACCGTAGTCTGGCTTTTTTATGGCGGTTTTGAAGCAGTGGCTTCTTCCTTGCTGAGTGGCCTTTCAGGTTATGTCGATATAGGACTCGTTTTACTGTGGATATAGATACTTTTGTTCCTGTTTCCTCCAGCATCTTCACAAAGTCCTTTGCTGTTGTTCTGGGATTGATTTGCACTTTTCGCACCAAAGTACGTTCATCTCTAGGAGACAGAACGCGTCTCCTTCCTGAGCGGTATGACGGCTGCGTGGTCCCATGGTGTTTATACTTCCGTACTATTGTTTGTACAGATGAACGTGGTACCTTCAGGCGTTTGGAAATTGCTCCCAAGGATGAACCAGACTTGTGGAGGTCTACATTTTTTTTTCTGAGGTCTTGGCTGATTTATTTTGATTTTCCCATGATGTCAAGCAAAGAGGCACTGAGTTTGAAGGTAGGCCTTGAAATGCATCCACAGGTACACCTCCAATTGACTCAAATGATGTCAATTAGCCTATCAGAAGATTCTAAAGCCATGACATCATTTTCTGGAATTTTCCAAGCTGTTTAAAGGCACAGTGAACTTAGTGTATGTAAACTTCTGACCCACTGGAATTGTGATACAGTGAATTATAAGTGAAATAATCTGTCTGTAAACAATTGTTGGAAAATGTACTTGTGTCATGCACAAAGTAGATGTCCTAACCGACTTGCCAAAACTATAGTTTGTTAACAAGAAATTTGTGGAGTGGTTGAAAAACGAGTTTGAATGACTACGACCTAAGTGTATGTAAACTTCCGACTTCAACTGTACATTGTAGGTCATTAACCAATCACAGCCCTCCTGTAGGATTGCAGATTCAGCAAATCACCAGCAGATCACATGGATCTGGGTTGGGCTTGAGCTCTGTCCGCATCACCAGCAGATCACAGAAGACTCGATTGGGCTGAAGATACACAACAGATCAGCCGCATGGGTTCCACGTCCCAAAGGAACCTTAGAATACCAATATGCACTATTGGACAGCAGCCCCCCCCAAAGACAGAAATATTACTACTAGAGACAGACAGACAGACATAGAGACAGACAGACAGACATAGAGACAGACAGACATAGAGACAGACAGACAGAGGGACAGAGAGACAGACAGGACAAACAGACAGACAGACAGACATAGAGACAGACAGAGAGACAGCCAGGACAAACAGACAGACAGACAGACAGACAGACAGACAGGCAGACAGACAGACAGACAGCCAAAGAGACAGACAGACAGGCAGACAGACAGGCAGACAGACAGACAGACAGACAGGCAGACAGGCAGACAGACAGACAGACAGACAGACAGACAGACAGACAGACAGACCTTCCAGTTCCAGGTTCTTCCCCTCTGACACTGATGTTGGAGCAGCAGCTACTGGAAGCTGGTCAATCCTCACCGAGTTTTTACCTGAAACACCAAAGACCAGCCACAATGTGTATGTGTGTGTGTGTGTGTGTGTGTGTGTGTGTGTGTGCACGTGTGTACGTGTGTGTGTGTGTGTGTGTGTGTGCTTTGTATAGCGCTCCTACACAATGTGTGTGTGTGTGTGTGTGGGTTCTCAGCCTCACCTCGACATCGTCCGCGGTGTGCTAGCGTCAGAGAGCGGTCCTTGCAGCGCGCCCTCTGCAGGTCACAGCCGGTATCGTAGCTCCGCCCATCAGAGCCACACACCGGCTTGCCCTGTGTCCTGGAACAGATGATCCCACAGTGGGTCTCCCTGTCCCCTATCAGCCACTGCTGGGGAACACCACAGAATTACAATGAATAGAACGGGCTGGGCATCCCCATTCATGTCAATGACGCCATAATGGGTGGACTGGTCTGGCAGCCATTTTGAGTCTGTCCCATAGAGAACGATAGAGGCCTCTAGGGGCCAAAAGGCCATATTAGCACGGGCAGAGCCATTCAGGGCTTCCACCATTTTAATGAAGTCAACTGGGTGGGACTTCCAACTTCATTGGCCAATCCCTCCTGGTGACCCTGTTGGAGTCATGTCCAACCGGGTCATCAGGAGGGATCAGCCAATCATCAGCCAATCATGAATAAAAAATTAAAAATACTACTTCAAAATGGAGATAGCCTGAATGGCGCTGCCTATGCTGTCACAGATGCTATAGTGGCACAGATACAAAGATGAGTCCTCTATCTATCTCTATTGTCTGTCCCCATTGGGGCAAAGCAGGAAGTAAAAGCAGGAATTCAGTCTGCGCTTTATTAACATTCAACTCAACTGACATTCTATTTTTATGGGAACAGCACTGTCACAGCCAACACGGTTAGACCTGGAGCAACACAGCCAACACGTTAGGCCTGGAACAACACAGTTAGGCCTGGAACAACACAGCCAACACAGTTAGGCCTGGAACAACGCAGTTAGGCCTGGAACAACACAGCCAACACAGTTAGGCCTGGAACAACACAGCCAACACAGTTAGACCTGGAACAACACAGCCAACACAGTTAGGCCTGGAACAACACAGCCAACACAGTTAGGCCTGGAACAACACAGCCAACACAGTTAGGCCTGGAACAACACAGCCAACACAGTTAGGCCTGGAACAACACAGCCAACACAGTTAGGCCTGGAACAACACAGCCAACACAGTTAGGCCTGGAACAACACAGTTAGGCCTGGAGAAACACAGCCAACACAGTTAGACCTGGAGCAACACAGCCAACACAGTTAGACCTGGAACAACACAGTTATGCCTGGAGCAACACAGCCAACACAGTTAGACCTGGAACAACACAGTTAGGCCTGGAGCAACACAGCCAACACAGTTAGACCTGGAACAACACAGCCAACACAGTTAGGCCTGGAACAACACAGCCAACACAGTTAGGCCTGGAAACAACACAGCCAACACAGTTAGGGCCTGGAACAACGCAGTTAGGCCTGGAACAACCCCAGCCAACGCAGTTAGGCCTGGAACAACACAGCCAACACAGTTAGGCCTGGAACAACACAGCCAACACAGTTAGGCCTGGAGCAACACAGTTAGGCCTGGAACAACACAGTTAGACCTGGAACAACACAGTTAGACCTGGAACAACACAGTTAGGCCTGGAACAACACAGTTAGGCCTGGAACAACACAGTTAGACCTGGAAGAAAACCTGACCCAGTTAGGCCTGGAACAACACACCAGTTAGCCTGGAACAACACAGTTAGGCCTGGCAACAACAGTAGCCTGAGACACACCAACACAGTGAACCTGGAACAACACAGCCAACACAGTTAGGCCTGGAGCAACACAGCCAACACAGTTAGATCTGGAACAACACAGTTAGGCCTGGAACAACACAGTTAGGCCTGGAGCAACACAGCCAACACAGTTAGACCTGGAACAACACAGTTAGGCCTGGACCAACACAGCCAAGGCAACACAGTAGTTAGGGTGGCACCGTGTTACGTATAGACCATCGTCCTCTCTTGAAATATACCTGCCCGGCAGACACCAATAATATCCTAATTGTAATACACACCTTCCCAATCAGGTGAAGGTTGTCTATCCAGTACGTTCCAAGACAGAGTTGAGCTACTCTGCACATACAGCATGGATGGTAGCGCCCTGAATGTATGTATCCAAAATGGCACCCTATTTCCTACAAAGGGCCCTGGTCAAAAGTAGTGCACTTTATAGGGAATAGGGTGCTATTTGGGACACATCCAACGTTTTACATAAGGAAGGCTGGAGGAAGCAGACCTGTTAGCTGACTTGTCAATCTTCCTCTACTTTAGGCTGAAACTTTAGCGATCTTCAAAGCACCTCAAAATCAAACCATTGACAAACATTCTGTATAACGGGAGCCTTCCTCTCTCTCCTCTCCTCTCCTCTCCTCTCCTCTCCTCTCCTCTCCTCTCCTCTCCTCTCCTCTCCTCTCCTCTCCTCTCCTCTCCTCTCCATCCTCTCCTCTCCATCCTCTCTCCTATCCTCCTCCTCTCCTCTCCTCTCCTCTCCTCTCCTCCTCTCCTCTCCTCTCCTCTCCTCTCCTCTCCTCTCCTCTCCTCTCCTCTCCTCTCCTCTCCTCTCCTCACCCCTCCTCTCCTCTCCCCTCCTCTCCTCTCCTCTCCTCTCCTCTCCTCTCCTCTTCTTCCCTCCTCTCTCCATCCCCTCCCTCGCTCTCTCCCTCCTCTCTCTCCTCTCCTCTCCTCTCCTCTCTTCCCTCCTCTCTCCTCTCTCCTCTCTCCTCTCGCCTCCTCTCGCTATCCTCCTGCCTCCTCCCCTCCTTCGTTCCTCCTCTCCTCTTCTCTCCTCTCCTCTCCTCTCCTCTCCTTTTCCTTTCCTCCCCTCTCTCTCTCCCTCCTCTCCTCTGCCTCTCCTCTCTCCTCTCGCTCTCCTCCTCCTCGCCTCTCTTTTCTTTCCCCGTCCTCTCTCTCCTCTCCCTCCTCTCTCCTCTCCTCTCCTCTCCTCCCTCGTCTCTCTCTCCTCTCCCTCTCCCTCTCCTCTCTCTCCTCCCTCTCCTCCTCTCCGCCCCCTCTCCCTCCTCTCCTCTCCTCCTCTCTCTCCTCTACTCCTCTTTTCTTCCCCTCCTCTCTCTCCTCTCCCCTCCTCTCCCTCCTCTCTCTCTCCTCTCCTCTCCTCTCCTCTCCTCCTCTCCTCTCCTCTCCTCTCCTCGTCCTCTCCTCTCCTCTCCCCTCCTCTTCTGCCTCTCCTCCCTCTCCCTCTCCCTCTCCTCTCCTCTCCTCTCCCTCCTCTCCTCTCCTCTCCTCCTCCTCTCCTCTCTTTCTCTCCCTCTCTCTCTCTTTTCCTCTCTCCCTCCTCTCTCTCCCTCTCCTCTCTCTCCTCTCCTCTTCCTCTCCTTCTCCTCTTCTCCTCTCCTAACTGTGGTTTCGTTCCTCAACTTGACAGCCATAATAAACAGAAAGACATTGGTCCAGTAGATAAGCTTCCATAATTACCATATTGTTCTATTAGGTATAGAAGCGTGAAAATTGGCACACTTGTATCAATTTTTTCACGTTGAACAAAACCTGATATAGTGCCATTTCAGCAATGCCCCGGGTCGGCCTGTAGCGCTCCCTATAGGTCAATGATGAAAATGCATTTACCTGTATTGACGTTTTGGCTCATGGCTTTCACTGTGTTGGATCTACATGGCCCAAACATAGCTCAACATGTTTGTATTGGTTGGGGGTACACATTCAATCAACAACCAACACCATATGGCCTTTGTTTTTTCCTTTATGATCGCAACAATGATGAGAAATCGCAGCAACATTTTGATATTGTCACTTTCAAAGTGGTGCATTAAATACAAAGTTATCTTTTACAAGTTTACTGTTTTTAATTATATATAATATGATATTATGAACTGAGTATACGAAACATCAGGAACACCTGCTCTTTCCATGACATAGACTGACCAGGTGAATCCAGGTGAGAGCTATGATCCCTTATTGATGTCACTTGTTAAATCCACTTCAGATCAGTGTAGATGAAGGGGAGGAGACAGGTTAAAGAAGGATTTTTAAGCCTTGAGACAATTGAGACCTGGATTTTGTATGTGTGCCATTCAGAGTGTGAATGGGCAAGACAAAATATCTCAGTGCCTTTGAACGGGGTACGGTAGTAGGTGCCAGGTGCACCGGTTTGTGTGTCAAGAAATGCAATGCTGATGGGTTTTTCACGCTCAACATTTTCCAGTGTGTATCAAGAATGGTCCACCACCCAAAGGACATCCAGACAACTTGACACAACTGCGGAAAGCATTGGAGTCAACATGGGCCAGCATCCCTGTGGAATCCTTTCGACACCTTGTAGAGTCCAGGCCCCGATGAATTGAGGCGGTTCTGAGGGCAAAAGGTGTTCTTAATGTTTGGTATCCTCAGTGTATACTGTGTCACTTAAGAAATGTGACCGGAAGCCTGCCCTGTACACGTCACTATAAATCCCATGGGAATGTGACCGGAAGCCTGCCCTGTACACATCACTATAAATCCCATGGGAATGTGACCGGAAGCCTGCCCTGTACACGTCACTATAAATCCCATGGGAATGTGACAGGAAACCTGCCCTGTACACGTCACTCTAAATCCCATGGGAATGTGACAGGAAGCCTGCCCTGTACACGTCACTCTAAATCCCATGGGAATGTGACAGGAAGCCTGCCCTGTACACGTCACTATAAATCCCATGGGAATGTGACAGGAAACCTGCCCTGTACACGTCACTCTAAATCCCATGGGAATGTGACAGGAAGCCTGCCCTGTACACGTCACTCTAAATCCCATGGGAATGTGACAGGAAGCCTGCCCTGTACACGTCACTCTAAATCCCATGGGAATGTGACAGGAAACCTGCCCTGTACACGTCACTATAAATCCCATGGGAATGTGACAGGAAACCTGCCCTGTACACGTCACTATAAATCCCATGGGAATGTGACAGGAAGCCTGCCCTGTACACGTCACTCTAAATCCCATGGGAATGTGACAGGAAACCTGCCCTGTACACGTCACTATAAATCCCATGGGAATGTGACAGGAAGCCTGCCCTGTACACGTCACTCTAAATCCCATGGGAATGTGACAGGAAACCTGCCCTGTACACGTCACTATAAATCCCATGGGAATGTGACAGGAAACCTGCCCTGTACACGTCACTATAAATCCCATGGGAATGTGACAGGAAGCCTGCCCTGTACACGTCACTCTAAATCCCATGGGAATGTGACAGGAAGCCTGCCCTGTACACGTTACTATAAATCCCATGGGAATGTGACAGGAAACCTGCCCTGTACACGTCACTATAAATCCCATGGGAATGTGACCGGAAGCCTGCCCTGTACACGTCACTCTAAATCCCATGGGAATGTGACCGGAAACCTGCCCTGTACACGTCACTCTAAATCCCATGGGAATGTGACAGGAAGCCTGCCCTGTACACGTCACTATAAATCCCATGGGAATGTGACAGGAAGCCAGTGTACATGTTGGGATTTATAGTGACGTGTACAGGGCAGGCTTCCTGTCACCCTGTCAATGTTATTTAGAAATCTCTCCAGATCTCAGTGAAGCATAATGTTATTTAGACAAGAGTGACTGTTGGCTCTGGATGCACCTCAAATGGCACCCTATCCCCTATGGGTCCTGGTCAAATGGCACCCTATCCCCTATGGGTCCTGGTCAAATGGCACCCTATCCCCTATGGGTCCTGGTCAAATGGCACCCTATCCCCTATGGGTCCTGGTCAAATGGCACCCTATCCCCAATGGGTCCTGGTCAAATGGTACCCTATCCCCTATGGGTCCTGGTCAAATGGTACCCTATCCCCTATGGGTCCTGGTAGTGCACTATCCCCTATGGGTCCTGGTCAAATGGCACCCTATCCCCTATGGGTCCTGGTCAAATGGCACCCTATCCCCTATGGGTCCTGGTCAAATGGCACCCTATCCCCTATGGGTCCTGGTCAAATGGCACCCTATTCCCTATGGGTCCTGGTCAAATGGCACCCTATCCCCTATGGGTCCTGGTCAAATGGCACCCTATCCCCTATGGGTCCTGGTCAAATGGCACCCTATTCCCTATGGGTCCTGGTCAAATGGCACCCTATTCCCTATGGGTCCTGGTCAAATGGCACCCTATCCCCTATGGGTCCTGGTCAAATGGCACCCTATCCCCTATGGGTCCTGGTCAAATGGCACCCTATCCCCTATGGGTCCTGGTCAAATGGCACCCTATTCCCTATGGGTCCTGGTCAAATGGAACCCTATTCCCTATGGGTCCTGGTCAAATGGAACCCTATTCCCTTTCCATCGTGGACCTCTATTGGTAGACAAGTGGCTTCTGGGAAAAACAAGTGACATGGTCACTCTGTGCCATGCACTCAATCATGCAACAACATGCTAACACGCTATCATGCTAACATGCACATCTACCAAATCCCTTCCACAGAGCAGGGTGGCTATGCAACAACATGCTAATACGCACATCTACCAAATCCCTTCCACAGCGCAGGGGGGCTATGCAACAACATGCTAATACGCACATCTACCAAATCCCTTCCACAGCGCAGGGGGGCTATGCAACAACATGCTAATACACACATCTACCAAATCCCTTCCACAGCGCAGGGGGGCTATGCAACAACATGCTAATACACACATCTACCAAATCCCTTCCACAGTGCAGAGTGGCTATACACTTCCCTAAGAGGCTATGGGGGTGAACAGAAATGGCCACTAGAGCCAGACAAGAAATATAGTGAACATTAAAAGAACTACCTGATTAGAAAGAAGACACCCAGAAAAACATCCAGTCAACCAGTCAACCAGTCAACCAGTCAGTCAACCAATCAACTAGTCAGTCACCAGTCAACCAGTCAACCAGTCAGTCAGTCAACCAGTCAGTCAACAAGTCAACCAGTCAGTCAACCAATCAACCAGTCAGTCAGTCAACCAGTCAGTCAACCAGTCAACTAGTCGGTCAACCAGTCAACCAGTCAGTCACCAGTCAACTAGTCAGTCAACCAGTCAACTATTCAGTCAACCAGTCAGTCAACCAGTCAACCAGTCAGTCAACCAGTCAACTAGTCAGTCAACCAGTCAACCAGTCAACCAGTCAACCAGTCAACCAGTCAGTCAATCAGTCAACGAGTCAGTCAACAAGTCAACTAGTCAGTCAACCAGTCAACCAGTCAGTCAACCCAACAGTCACCCAGTCAACCAGCCAGTCAACCAGCCAGTCAACCAGCCAGTCAGTCAACCAGTCAGTCAACCAGCCAGTCAACCAGTCAACCAGCCAGTCAATCAGTCAGTCAACCAGTCAGTCAACCAGTCAACCAGTCAACCAGTCAGTCAACCAGTCATTCAATAAACCAACCAGTCAACCAGTTAACCAACCAGTCAACCAACCAGTCAACCAGTTGCCAGAGATAGTCCGGTGGTTGCTAGATTAAATCCTTGTTCCACAGGGACTTTATTATCTCCCTGACACCTGGGTATCTGCCAGTGTTACCCATCAGCTCAGCTAGTCCACATAACACAGAGCACTAACACCATAGTGAGTCTGAAGTACTGTCCCATGCAAAGGAAGAGTATAAAGCTTGGACATACACAATATGCCACATTCACTCAACATCATGCAGATCACCAGTTAAATAAATCATATGGTGCATCCCAAATAGCATCCTATTCCCTAAATACTGCACTACCTTTGACCAGGGCCCAAGTAGTGTACTATATAGGGAATAGGGTGCTATTTGGGACGTGGACAAAGTCTATACTGAAGAAGAGATAGAAGGTTATCCTTAAAGATTTAGGAGACAGCAAGAATTCAACTTTCAATGCAATGTCCAAAATAAAGAGC